TTACACAGGAAATTGCTCGCAACGACACTGGATGGCACGACATTTTATTGGGACGTGATTGGCTGCGACGGTATAACCCGCGAATCGACTGGACGACGGGTAGCTGCACCGTGCGAAGTAAGGGTAACTGGGTCGAATAACCTCGCTGGCAGTCGCCCGAGTCTTCAACGGTCCACGTCAACGCCATCACGATGAAACCGGTTGTCGCCGCGGGAGCTGACGTGTACGCAGTAGATATAGCATTAGTAGGAAAAGAGGAGCAGCCGAGCGATTTTCAGAAACAGCTGGCAGCAGTACCGCCCCAAACTTCAGGAACTGTTCAAACGGTACTCGGGGATTTTTCCCGATGACTTACCGCAAGGGCTGCCACCTCAGCGGGCACATGACCATAGGATCGAGTTAGAGCCTGGGGCACAGCCAACTGTACAGCGCCAATTCAGACTGACACAGCCCGAGCTCGAGGAACTAAGGAAGCAGTTAGATTATCTGTTAGAGAAGCAGTTTATCCGACGAGCTTGTCACCGTTCGCCGCACCGATACTGTTTCACACCAAAAAAAGACGGAGGATTTCGCATGTGCATTGATTACCGAGCGCTCAACCGTGGTAACAGTCAAATCGCGGTTACCCCATCCCCCGCGCCGACGAACTGATCGACCAGCTGCGAACTGCCCGGGTATTTTCGAAATAGACTTACGGGGGGTTACCATCAGATTCGGGTCGAACCAATCGGACTGCGCCAAGACAGCATTTAGAACTAGGTACGGGTCAATCGAGTACACGGTGATGCCTTTTGGGCTGACCAACGCACCCGCAACATTTCACATGACCATGAACGAGGTGTTTAGGCCACTTTTAGATAAATGCGTGATAGTTTTACCTCGACGACATCCTCGTTTACAGTCGCGACCAGGTAGCAGCACTTAGTCGATCTCGAAGCAGTTTTTAAAATTTTAGCGGAACATCGCTTACTCACAAAGGGCTCCAAGTGCGAGTTTTTTCGGGACGGACTAGGAATTTTTTAGGACACGTTATTCGGAGCTGGAGTTGAAATCGACCCCAAGAAGCTGGATACGGTCTCAAAGCGTGGCGCCCCCGACGAACATCACGGAACTGCAGAGTTTTTAGGGTTCGTTAATTATGTCCGTTGGTTCGTCCCCGACATGGCACGCTTAACAGCCCCGCTCACAGATTTACTGTCGTAAGGGGGTTCACTTTTACGTGGGGGGAGAAAGAGCATGCTGCCCTCTCTGCCCTGAAAACTGTTCTCTGTCACACCCGTCCTACGCATCGCTGACCCACATGCCCCTTCGAGGTTGTTACAGACGCGAGAGACATCGCCATTGGAGCCGTGCTACTACAGGACTTCGGCAACGGCCTCCAACCCATCGCCTACGAATCACGTAAAACTGCATCCGCCTGAGCGAAATTACCCGATACACGACCGCGAAATGCTCGCGATCGTGCATGCATTCAAAGTGTGGCGCTACTACTTGACCGGCGCAGACGTGACAGTACGGACAGATCATCGATCCCTATAGTACCTCCGGGCACAGCCCCCACCTCAACCACGACAGATTCGGTGGCTCGACTTCCTTGAGTCAAATTTCATTACACAGTCACCTATAAAAAGGGAGCATCGAATATCGCCGACGCACTGACCCGCCCCCACTGCCCAGATCCATGCGATACTACTTGTTGAACAAGAATGAATGAACTAACAGTGAAATGAGTACAAGTAGGAAACCCTAGAAATGTGTACCCCCTATAGGCTAACCCACTGTAGCCTAAATAACTACAACAACATCTATATAATGTTGACACACCCCCGTAGGCGAAGTGGGGGAGAACTAGGGGTCACAAGACCAGTCAAGTAAAGCAAAGCAAAGCAAGCTCAGGGTGGATCACAACGTCACCACACATTCCGAGCACAAGTTCAAGGCCACAAGGCCAGTTCACATGCAGGAGTACATATATATATATATAAGGCTAAACAAGCAAGAGCAGCAATATATATATGTAACAGTACAAAGAGGGTCAAGAGGAGAGCAAGTGAGGCAAGACAGGCACAAGACCCAACTGGGTACAGAAGCGCTGATGATCACAAGGCGGAAGTGCCTTGGTGAAGACATCAGCAGTGTTGGCCTCAGAGGCCACGTACGCAAGTCGCAACTGACCACGCTGCTGTAGCTCACGAGCAAGGAAGTAGCGGAGAGCAATGTGCTTTGTTCTGTGCTCCAGTCTCTGCTCTCGACACAAGGCCAGCATGGCCTTGTTGTTCGACGACAGGACTGGAGGAGAACGAGGCGGCTCTCCAAGGTCGGTCAGCAGGTAGGTGAGCCAGCGAAGCTCCTAAGCAGCCATGGCCCCTGCGTAGATCTCAGCCTCACAACTGGAGCCCGAGAACAGAAGATGAGCGAGTAGCCCGCCACGAAACAGAGCCGGAACCAAGGCTGAAGGTGTAACCTTGTGACGACCGCTGCGTAGCTTGGTCGTCAGCCCAAGAAGCGTCTGCGTGTCCAGTGAGGACCACTGGACTCCGCCCTCCAAGCACTAGCCCCATGCCCGACGTACTGCACAGGTAGCGCAACACCCTCTTCGCTGCAGCCATGTGCTCTGGTCAGTGTCTCCCAGGAGCAACATAGCGTGCAAGAATGCTAAGAGGGTATGCAAGGTCAGGTCGTGTGCAGGTGATCAGGTACATGAGACAGCCAACAAGCTCTGGGTACGGGCCACTCGACTCTACGGACTCATCCGAAGGCAGAGCTGAGAGCGAGTGGCGAGTAAACAGAGGAGTGGCCTGAGGCGAGGAGTACGTGAAGCCGAAGCGCTGAAGGACCTGATGCACCATGTGTGACTGAGTCAGGGTAATGGTGCGGCGTGCTCTGTCCCGGTGATCTGCAAGCCAAGGTAGCTGCGCAGTTCACCCAGGTCAGTGCACGTGTGTCTCTCTGCAGCTCGGACTTCACGTAGGCGAGTCCAGTAGTGTCAGCTGTGGCAAAGACCAACTCGTCGACGTACACGAGGATGTAGAACGGCGGCAGAGAGGTGTCGGTGCGCAGAAACAGCGACGGGTCGGCAGTAGAAGGAGCGAACCCAAGAGCCGCAAGCGTAGTCCTCAGTGTGTCGTGCCACTCACGTGGCGCCTGGCGGGAGACCGTAGACTGGACGCTGGAGACTCCACTGGTGCCAGGAGGGAAAGACCCAGTGAAGCCAGGTGGGCGGCGCAGCCAGATCTCCTCGTGCGGGCTGCCCTGCAAGAAAGCTGTGCTGAAGTCGAGAGAGTGCAGCTCATAGTCCCGGTGAGCAGCAACGTTGCAGCAGTAACCCGAAGAGTGGTCATCCTTCGGGGTGGGAGAGAAGGTCTGAAAGTAGTCAACTCCCTGCCGCTGACTGAAGCCACGAGCCACGTAACGCGCCTTGAAGACAGGCGGAGAACCCGGCGGCCGCTTCACCCTGAAGATCCACATGCCACTAAGTTCGCCCCAGGAGGCGGGACAGCATCAACGTAGGTGGCCTGTGGACTTCCAGGAAGCCATCTCTGCATCCATAGCTGCCTGGCACTGAGAGGAGTAGGGACCCTCTATCGCCTCCGCGTAAGAGCGCGGAGTCGGGATGTCAAGTGCATCCGGGTCTCCCTCAGGGGTAAGCAGTACGGACACGAGATGAGGTGAAGCAGCGGCCAAGCACTGGAACTCCTCCTGCTTGTCCTCAAGGACGTCCGTGCCAAGGGCACATGCACCCCCGACGGACGGAGGACAGACAGACGCAGACTCAGCGACAAGACTCGCAGCGAAGTCTAGGCGACAGTGAGCAGCAAAGTCGACGAGCTCAGCAACTAGGGCAGGCGCAGCAGAAGACTCGAAAGACGGGTCAGTGACGGCAGTAGTAGCAAGGAGACGCGTGACAGTAGGACTGCAGCACGAAGAGAGTCCGACGCAGGGTCGGCGAGAGCAGGAAGAGAGGACGCAGGAGGAGAAGGCAAAGGGGCACGCAGAGGAGCAGTAGACGGACGGAGAGACATCCGGTGCGTGCCAGGGGCAGGAGGAGGACGCTGACGCGAACTACGAGCACTAGCGCTAGCAGGACGGACAGGCGACGCAGGACGAGACGCAGACTCACGACGCTCAGTAAGACCGCCAGTAGGACCAGTGTAAGGAGAAGGAGCAAGTAGTGGGAGGCCGGCTGCAACTGTAACTGTGACGGGACAGGCTGTGAACACGCTAAGGGAGGAGGACCAGGAGGAGGCGAGAGACCAAGAGCCTGCTGAAGGAGCGGAACGAAGTACGGCTGAGGGCCGCGCGGCGACTCCAGACACAGCAGGGACAGCACCAGTACCCCCCAGCTGGCCGAGTACCAGAACCAGCAGCAGCTCCAACACCCAGGTCCTCAGTACTAGCCTCAGCACCAACGCCCGAGTCCTCAGCACCAGCAGGGACTCCAACACCAGGGTCCACAGCGCCAGCCGCAGCGCCAACGCCCGGGTCCTCAGCACCAGCAGGGACTCCAACACCAGGGTCCACAGCACCAGCCGCAGCTCCAACGCCCGGGTCCTCAGCACCAGTAGCACCTCCAACTCCCGGGTCCGCAGCACCAGCAGCAGCTCCAACGCCAGGGTTCGCAGCACCAGCCGCACCTCCAACTCCCGGGTCCGTAGCACCAGAAGCAGCCGGGTCCGTGAGACGAGGCGCACCACTCCGAAGTGTGCAACGGCGCTCGTACCACTCACGGATCCGCTCACGAGAGGGGAGCTCCCGACTAGGAGGAGAAGTACCCGGTACCAGTCCCTGTAGTGCGCCTGGTCCCAGATGTACCTCTCTGGAGGCTGCAGTACTGTAAGTACCACTCACGCAACTGCTCCGAGGAGAGGTCTCGTCCAGGTGTAGTACCCTCAGGACCAGCACCGCCAGAGTCAGAACCCCCAGACCCAGCACCCCCAGGCTCAGCACCCCCAGTCTCCGCACCCCCAGGGTCAGCACCCCCACTCACCGCACCCCCAGGCTCAGCAACCCCAGGCTCAATACCCCCAGTGTCCGCACCCCCAGGCTCAGCACCCTCAGAGTCCGCACCCCCAGGCTCAGCACCCCCAGGAGGACGAGAGTCGACAGCAACCTCAACAGGCTCGACAGGGTCTACCTGAGACACACCTGAGGGAGCGGCACCCTGAGGGGGGAGGGGGTCTACGACAGCAGCACCTGGCGCGAGGAAGAGAGGCGGGGGTGGGAGCGGGGCAGTGCGGTAGGGGAAGAGGCGGTAGTAGGGGACAGACTCGTCAAAAGTGACGTCCTGAGAGGGCAAGACCCGGCGCGAGGTGGCGTGGTAAAACTGCCAACCAGGCGCGTCCGGAACAAAGCCGAGGAAGACGCAGGGAACAGCACGAGAGGAGAGCTTGTCCGCAGACGAATCGCGGACAAAAGCTCGAGATCCCCAGACCCGGAAACGCGACGCATCGCCAACCTCCCCCGTCCACAGCAGTGTGGGCGAGGTCTCCGGCAAGGAGACACGGGGCCAGAGGTTGAGCTGATGCGCAGCGTACCGGACCGCAAACGGCCACAGAAAGTGGGGGGCAACCGCATGGATCAAGGAGGTACGAGCGACCTCCATGACCAGGCCAATGCGGCGCTCCGCAACCCCATTCTGCTGTGGAGAGGCCGGAAGCGTGAACGACTGCTCAATGCCGTGCTCAGCACAGTAGGCTGCCAAGAGGTCGGAGGAGAACTCACCACCTCTGTCAGAGTGCAAGCGCAGGACAGGAAAGTCCGAGCGGAAACGCTCGCTGAGCTGGAGACGAGCTCTGCGGATCCAGGGGATCAAAACATCAGGGACCTCACCCTTGGTGTGCAAGGGGAAGACCGTGGTGTAGCGCAAGTAGTCGTCAACAACGATCAGGAAGTACCTCTCCTGACCCTGACCACGGACGCGGGCTGGGCCCCACACGTCCATGTGGAGCGTCTGCAAAGGAGCAGTCATCGGGGGAAACGAGGAGGAGTGAGGAGCGGCGCGCTGCCGCCCCTCGACACAGGGAAGGCAGGGAGGAGCAGGCGAGGGGGGAGGGGAGGGAGGACCCTGGGAAGACCAGAGACAAGGTACCGGGAGTGCATGGCACGAAGACGCTGCATAGACGGGTGGCCTAGTCGGTGGTGCCAGAGGACAGTCTCGTGCGCTAGAGAGCGACACGAGCAGGGGGCGAACAGCTGACCTGACGCTGACGCTGACGCAGACGCAGCGACCTGAGGGGGGGCAGTAGTCAGTGTGTACAGGTCCGACCCAGGCTGCCGGGTGAAGGTAGCCAAGTGGCGGCCTGTACGAGCACACGTGCAGTGTGTGACATGCTCGTAGGCAGGGGTGAACTGGTGAACACCCGCGTCCTGGAGTGCACAACCTGCCACCAAGTTCGTAGAGAACGAGGGGAGGTGGAGACCTGACAGTGTGCTCGACGGGACCGCAGGACAGGGAAGGACAGTGGAGGAGGTCGCAATGACCGGACCCCCAGAGGGGTCAGCGAGGGAGACAGCTACTGGCCGAGCAAGGGGCTCAAGGGCAGTGCGGTCACGAAAGAAACAGCGAGAGGCACCTGAATCCAACGTGAAGGTGTGCAGTGCTGCAGTCGACACAATACTAGGGGGGGCAGACGTACAAGCACCTAGAGCAGCAGCCTCACCAGCACCTGGGGTAGCAGACACGCGAGTACCTGGAGCGGCAGACGCACTAGTCCTAATGCCCGGGTCGGGCGGGACACTCAGGTACTCAGAACCCTCTCCACTAGTAGACATCACATACATGGCAGTGAGAATAGCATCAAAGTCTAGAGCATAGATATCAACCCCCTTCTTCAGGAGATCAACCCAGCGGGGCAGCTCAGTGGCCTGAGGGAACTGAACACGCCAAGAGTCGTTCAGACGAGCGAAGCAACGCTGTGTGGCGTGCGGTCCCCCACACGGCTGGCCAGTGCGGTCACCAGTGCGAATGACGTACGTGCAGCTAAGGCCACCCCCCCCCCCCCCCGTGCTGAGAGTACCACTCACGGACTTCCTGGGGCGACGGAGTGTGCTGCTGGCCCTGGCCACCGCCAGTGCCTCCACGACCTCCACCGCCGCTACCACCTCCTCGACCACCCCAACCCCGGCCGCTGCCTCGTCCACTGCCACCCCCACCACCTCCTCCGCCACGGCCACCTCCCCCGCCGCTGCCGCCACTCCCCCCACTGCTGCCATCTCCTCCACCCGCGCCACCCCCCCGCCACCACCACCTCCCCCCACCACCGCCACCCCCGCTGTCACCACCACCGCCCTTGCCCCCCTTGCCCTTGCCGCTGCGGCGCCCGCCCGAAGCAGACGGAGTCCCGACCTTCTCAGCACCAAGGAGGCGACAGCAGCAGCAGAGGCGACAGAGGGAAGAAGGGGGGAGGGAGAACACCCCTCAAAGAACGGGGTACGGGGGTCGCCACGAGAGGCACCTACAGCGACTATGCTAGCCTCAGCTGCAAGGAGTTCCTTCTTGAGGAGGGCAATGGTGAGCTCGGTGGGGCAGCGAGCTAAGAAGTGGTCCCTGACTGAGCGCAGAGTGTCAGGGAGGCGCGTGACTAGGTGGTAGAGAGTGAGCCAGAGCGGGGGTGGGTCTTGGCAAGGAACTCATCAGGCATAGCGGCGCGGAAGCGAGCCTCACTAGTGCGGAGGTGGGTAATGAGATCAGCGACAGTGTGGAAGGAAGCTAAGTCGGGGAACAAGTAGGGAAGAGAGAGACGGCCTAGAGCGGCAGAGGCCGGTGAGGAGTAGCGGGCAACGACAGCAGTGTACAGTGCCTGCGCAGTCTTGTGCTGCCCAAAGTGCTCGCGCTCATCTATCGGCAGAGAGTTGCGAATAGCGAAGCGAGCTTGGGCGTCACGAGTCTGCCACTGTGAGCAGGCAGTGCTGTCAGCAGTAGCAGCAGGAGCAGTAGCGTGGCCTAAGGCGTGATCGTACAGTGAGATGTCTTCCTTGGCAGTGAGCTGTAGGAAGAGGTGTAGGTCATCAAGCCAGGTGTTGAACTTCACTGGGCGGCCCTCAGCATCGAAGGCTAGCACAGGAGGGCTAGCCATGGTAGCAGTAGTAGAAAAAGCAGTAGGAGCAGTCAAAGGGTAGGTAGGGCGGCGCGGCTCGGTAGAGGTAGGGCGGCGCGGCTCGGTACAGGTAGGGCGGCGCGGCTCGGTATAGGTAGGGCGGCGCGGCTCGGGTCGGGCGGCGCGGCTCGGTGAGGGCTGGGCGGCTCACGTCGGGCGGCTCGGCTCGGTTAGGGCTGGGCGGCTCGGTTCGGGCGGCTCGGTTCCGTTAGGGCTGGGTGGCTCGGGTCGGCTCGGTTCCGGCTGCTCGGTTCGGGCAGCTCGTTCTGGGTGGGGCCGTTCGGGGCCGCTAAGGGCGAGCGCGGGGAGCGGGTGGGGCCATTAGGGACGAGCGCGGGGCCGACGTGGGCCTCTAAGGGCGAGCGCGGGGCCTATCGGGGCCGTAAGGGACGAGCGCGGGGCCGATCGGGGCCGTAAGAGACGAGCGCGGGGCCTATCGCGGCCTCTAGGTGCGAGAGCGCGGGGCCGACGGGGCCTCTAGGGGCGTGAAAGCCGAAGCGCCCTAGGGCGTAGGTAGTTAGGTAGGTAGGTAGTGGTGGGCCCTAAAAAAATCGGTCCTAGGAAGGACCTGCTCTATACCATGTTGAACAAGAATGAATGAACTAACAGTGAAATGAGTACAAGTAGGAAACCCTAGAAATGTGTACCCCCTATAGGCTAACCCACTGTAGGCTAACCCACTGCATCAAGGTACCAGGGTACACACTACTACGGGAATTACTGTTACAGGAGGCACACGACGGAGTTACCTCGGGACATTTCGGAGTAGAGAAAACACGGCAGCAGCTACAGCGGTATTATTACTGGCCCGAAATGTTGACCGACGTGCAACGACACGTGGCGTCGTGTCCCACTTGCCAGATCATGAATTCAACCAGGAAGCGGCCGGGGGGACAATTGCAGCCAATCCCACCTCCAGAGCGTGCTTGGCAGCAAGTGACGATGGACTTCGTCACGGGGTTACCGCCGGGGCGAGTGGGAATGACGCGATCCTGGTCGTCGTCGATCGACTGACGAAAATGGCACACTTCGCAGCCTGCAAGAAATCAATCACAGTCGAGAAAACAGCCCGCCTCTTCATCTCTACCGTCGTTCGACTGCACGGGATACCAGCATCGATCATCAGCGACAGGGACACGAAGTTTACCAGCAATTTCTGGCGGAACCTGTGGCAGCAGTTCGGCACGCGACTACAGTTCAGTTCATCGTATCACCCCGAAACCGACAGACAAACTGAATGGACAAACCAGACCATGGAGCAGCTCATTAGGGCCACGTGCGACGACCCAAACACGTGGGAACAGCAGCTGCCACTTATCGAATTCGCATATAACAACGCGCCATCCGCCACGACCCAACAGTCACCGTTTTACCTGAATTACGGACAAGACCCAACAGTACCCATGACCCCAAATCCCGACAACCCCGTTCCACGTGCACAACAATTCGCTGAGATTTTGCAAGCAGTAAGCACCAGGGCAGCAGAAGCAATAAAAAAATCGAACATCATCGCTAAACGCAACGCCGACCGCCACCGCAGACCTGTCACTTATCAGCCCGACGACCTCGTTTTACTCGACACCCAAAACCTCCGCCTGCCCGTCACTCCAAAACTCCGCCCCCGATACTGTGGGCCATTTCGAATTAGCCACATGATCACACCGGTCAGTGCACACCTCCTCCTCCCTGCTGACTGGTACGTCAGCCCCTCGTTCCACGTCAGCTTGCTTCGCCCCTACGTACCGTCCGCCGGCCAACTCCCACGACATCGACCATCCAGCATGACACGACCACCATCCGAACCTATCATCACCCCCGACAAAATCCTGAGTCACAGAGTTCGCGACCCCCGAGGAGCTCGAAAGATCGAGTTCCTGATCCGCTGGAAAGACCGAACACCTACCGAGGATAACTGGGTTCCCCTGGACAGAATTGAAAACCACCCTGTCCTCACCGAATATCTGCGCAGCCGAAACCTCGAAGACGTCCACGCACTTTCGTAAGAGGGACCTCCTTAGGAGGGGGGGTAGTGTAAGGAAAATCCCTTTTCCTTACTTCGCATCCCTGCTCAACGCGTACATCACTGTAGCACCTCAGTCAGCACTGTTACCACTCGCGATCATCGCATCGACAATCATCCCGCCATTTTCGCACATCGCATCCCGACCTCACGGCTCGGCGGGTAACCCGCGCCCGGGCCTACGCTTCGACATTTTCCCAACCTCAGTCCCAGGCTCTCGTCGCGCGACAACCACAGTCCATTACCGTTACCACTGTAGTTTCGCTATATATTCTTCGCTCATGCCTTCGCTCATTGTATTCTTGCTTCGATAGTGCAATTCTCGTTCGTTCACTCAATTGCACTCGTAACACAACCAATCAAATGAATCACTCTTATCACACTAGCTGAAATGGTTGTGATGATTGGAAATTTTTTTTTATAGATCTACGAATACAAGTCAGTACGGTATCTGGTCTTGATTAACTTACATAGTGCGTGCAAAGTACATGAATCTAAAGAATGTGATTACAACTTGTTGGAAACAATCGATCTTAAGCGCCTCTGTCGTGTCCAAACACTAAGGCACAAACGAAGCGAAGCATATCGAATCACCGGCGAGTCAACCCTCGGAGGTTGAAAGTAACTATTGGAGGTTACGTGAAAGTCAAAGGTCAGCGACCTTTGACCTGACAAGTACAGCGCGACAGCAAGTACACACAACTGACTCGCTACAGAGCAGTTGCCCGAGTCGTCACTGTATCGAATCGCAACAGCAACAGTAAAGTAGTTACAACCGCATCTCTTCGTATTCCTTGTACTCTTAAATAATCTTGTATCTCTCTTTTTTAATCAATCTACTTTGCCCTCACATACTAGCGCAAGGTGGTTCATTATACTTCATTAAACGCTTCCGCAATTACATCAGTCTTACCCAGAGTTCACCCCTGCAAAGATCCTAAGGGTTTTCTCAACCCAACACAACTAAGTCCGACGATACAATGAAAGTAACGGGGTTAAACGGGGAGATTCCTACCTAGTTGGAGACGTTGGGCAAAGATGGGTCGGAAGGGTTGCGATTGGTGCGGGGTGACTCAGGTGAGAAGAATTGAACGAGAATGAATGAACTATGAATGAAGTGAGTACAAATAGGAAACCCTAATTGAGTTGTACCCCCTATGGGATACCCCACTATAGCCTACACAAATGAGTAAGCTATAATGTTCTGACACACCCCCATAGGCAAAGTGGGGGAGAACAAGGGGTCACAAGACCAGTCAAGCAAAGCAAAGCAAAGCTCAGGGTGGATCACAAAGTCACCACACATTCCGAGCACAAGTTCAAGGGCCACAAGGCCAGTTCACATGCAAGATCATATATAGAGATATACAAGAGTCAAGCAAGCAAGAGCAAGAGTATATATAGGTCAAGGTACAAGCAAGGTCAAGAAGTGAGCAAGTGAGGCAAGCACAAGACCCAGCTGCGTGCAGCAACGCTGATGATCACAAGGCGCAAGTGCCTTGGTGAAGACATCAGCAGTGTTGGCCTCAGAGGCCACGTACGCAAGTCGCAACTGTCCACGCTGCTGTAGCTCACGAGCAAGAAAGTAGCCGAGAGCAATGTGCTTTGTCCTGTGCTCCAGTCGCTGCTCTCGACACAAGGCCAGCATGGCCTTGTTGTCTACGTACAGCACTGGAGGAGAACGAGGCGGCTCTCCAAGGTCGGTCAGCAGGTAGGTGAGCCAGCGAAGCTCCTGAGCAGCCATAGCCCCGGCGTAGATCTCAGCCTCATAACTGGAGCCGAGAACAGAAGACGAGCGGGTAGCCCGCCACGAAACAGAGCCGGAACCAAGGCTGAAGGTGTAACCCTGTGACGACCGCTGCGTAGCCTGGTCGTCAGCCCAAGAAGCGTCCGCGTGCCCAGTGAGGACCACTGGACTGCGCCCTCCAAGCACTAGCCCCATGCCCGACGTACTGCACAAGTAGCGCAACACCCTCTTCGCGGCAGCCATGTGCTCTGGTCGGTGTCTCCTAGGAGCAACATAGCGTGCGAGAATGCTAAGAGGGTATGCAAGGTCAGGTCGTGTGTGCGGAGATAACTACAGCAACGAGAGCTAGGCTACGGGCTAGGCACGTGTGCTCGTGTGATCTTTGCGTTCTCTGTTCCTTAGTCGTTTTCCTTGTGCGCACACTACTTGCTAGTTCACGGGGAAAATTGGCAAGAGTTTCACTAGGAAAAGTTCAGAACAATTGGTACAATGAAGTTGGCATAGCAAGACTACATCAGAGCAAGCATTCAGGTCGGCCAACTGCCAGCGCAACTTGGTCGACCGCGTTCCAGCACGACTTGGTTGGCCGCACTCCAGCAAGGCAAGGTCGATGGCGTGCCAACGTTGCAGGACAGCAGTGCACCTGCTTCACAGGTGCGCACAGATGATTGGCGTGCAGAGTCCTGTCACCTCTGATCCGCCACGACGACCTCGGGATACCACTACCGAGGTCGGTCTCGCCAACTTCGCCTGGGAGACCGTCGCACTCCCAGGTAACCTAGTCGACGGGCAACCATGTCGACCAGCAGCTCCCGTACGTGCCCGTCGACCTCCCAAGTCGACGACCACCTCCACGTCGACCCCCTCCAGGTCGATGTCCCCTCCGGTTGACCAACTCCATGTCGACCAGTACTCCTGGTCGACCTGCTCCTCGTCGACCAGCATAGTCGTCGGCCGACCACCCACGTCGGCCACCCGAAGTCGACGTCACCAAGTTGACGTCCTCTGCAGGTCGACTCCCAAGTCGACCTCCCTGAAGTCGGCGCCACCCTAAAGTCGGCGCCCGTGCAGTGGTCCCCCGTGCAGGTCGACCTCCTCGTCGACCAGCTCACCCACTGCTGCAGGTCGGCTGCTCCCCTCACACCCGACCACGAAGTCAGCTCCGCCCAAGTGAGGACGGGGCCAATACCCTACTCCCGTTGACACTCCCCT